CGGTTCAGGAACCTGCATGTCACAAGATCACAGCAGGTTTTCAATCATCATAGACGCATCACATCAGTTATTACAATATTCCAAAAATCTCAGCATTCCTTTCCCGCTTGGGTGACTAAAAACAAAACAAAACAAAACTTTTCTGGTCCCTTGGAAAAGCCAGAACGGGGACTTGGGTGTGGATTAAATGTGAGAACTACAGCTGAGCTTCCCTGGGTCCTTGACAACGTCACATACTGCTGCTCCGTGCAGACCATCCACTGTCCAGGCTGTCTTGGGCAAGGGGACAGGCGACCTTCCTGGGCCTGACTGGGCACAGAGGGACAAGCTTCCCTCTGCGTGTGTCCATGGAACACTGTCCCAACTATCTGCCTGTTGGGGTCCTGTCTCCCTGACCCTGGGGCAGAGGATGGTGCCCAGGTGGTCTGCTCAACAACGTATTACCAGGCACCAGCAGCACCTGAACATATTTGTTCATATTTCAGGAAGACTGACCAGCTTCCCAGATGGTGACTAGGTGTTCTTCAACGTGGGACAAGAGCCCTTGGCCTGAGCTCTGTGCATGGAGCCTGGCTGCCACACGCAACTTGCTGCCTCGTCGGTGTCGGTGTGTTTCAGCCAGGGCTGAGAATTACACACCCAGGTCCTGAGCAGTCAGTTAAAGCTGCCATAGGCTACATCACCTTTTATCTCCAGCTTTTTAAGGTTTCCTTTCTATTTTGCTAATTAGGGGATGTTTCCAAAGTGAAGAAAGTAGAACAAGGAGAACTGCCCTGTGTCCACACTCACAGGCCTTCAACAGCACAACGTGCTAAGGCCACTGCATGTCCTCTTGCGCTTGTTTTATTTATTTATTTATTTTTGGCTGCGCTGGGTCTTCCTTGCTGTGTGTGGGCTTTCTCTAGTTGCGGCGAGCAGACTCCTCGTTGCGGTGGCTTCTCTTGTTGCGAAGCACGGGCTCTAGGCACGTGGGCTTCAGTAGTTGTGGCACGTGGGCTCAGTAGTTGTGGCTCACAGGCTTAGTCGCTCCGCGACATGTGGGATCTTCCAAGACCAGGGCTTGAACCCATGTCCCCTGCACTGGCAGGTAGATTCTTAACCACTGAGCCACCAGGGAAGTCCCTTGTGCTTGTTTTTAAAATGTACGTTAAAAAACACAGATATAAAACAAACTTACAACCTTTTTTTGGCTTAATATTATATCACAATCTGTGTATACTAATCCATCATATTTATACATTATTGATTTAACCTTTCTCCTAAAATGTATACCTGTTTTTTACTATTATAAGTAACATTGCAACACATATTATTGGGAATGAATCTGGACCTGCATTTTAGATCACTTGCTGTGGCTAAACTTTCTGAGTCAAACTGTGCGCGACAATTTAAAGATTCTGCATACATTAAAACAACTGCTTTCCAGAGAGGTCATCCCAATTTTCACCACAATGAGAAGAGCATCACCTTGTCTATTGTACTGAACTCTCTGTGCTCTGAATACTAACCTGTCTATTTTTCTGCTCATTAGTAAGCAAAAACTTGTGTCTTGTCATTTGCTTTGCATTTCTCAGACCACATGGTATAATATCTGTTTTGATTCTTTTACTTTCAGTCTTTGGATTGTCTTTGCATTTAAAGGGCAATTCTTATAACCAGCATTTAGTTGGTCTTGCCTTTTTTCCAGTCTGACATCTCTGTATTTTACTTGGAATGTTAAATTCACTTAATGACATTTAATGTAATTATTGACATGGCTGGATTAAATCTATCATCGTGGCATAAAATTTCTATTTATCTTTGTATCTTTGTTCTTCCTTTTATCTCCTCATTTTCTAGATTCCATTTATTTCCTC